ATTACTAAGCAGAGAGTTACAGTTTCCAAATGATCAAATTTAGACCAAGATTCTACAAAGCGGGAGGAGGGGTGGAGAAACAAAACAGCTCAAGTTGGTTGTCAACTCCCCAACAGCTCCCTGTTAAGGGAATAAAACCCTTTGGTACTTTTGGACATTGCAGGGAAATAATTGTAATCCCATCAGAACCATGATTGGGTAAACCTCTGTAATTATGATGGCTCCTGTTGCCAAAGCAGTCTTGTAATGGGTTAAAATCTGTTAAATCACATAGACGGTTAAGTGTTTCCAGACACCATTCCTGATATTTGCAATGCAGTATCATTCATCTAAATCATTACTAAAGCTCAGTAATGCACATCACAAGGAACAGGCATATCGCTTATTTAGCAGACTACAGCCATGGTTGCCCGTGTGTTTCTCAAACCTCCGTAAAAAACAGATTGATATCACAACATGTGAACCTACTTTGAGATAAATTTGCACAATGTTAGAAGAGTTCCAAACAAGGTCTGGTAATAAAAACAAATAAAGTAGTCTGATTTTGTAGGTATATGTTTGCAGATTTCAAAACAACCCAACGTAACAAACTGCATGCACTCAGACAATGGTGGTAGGAAACACCACACACGTATTATAAAGACAATTAAAGCCCCAATGATTTTGCATGATTTTGGTACAACTTCCCTTTTACGTGATTTCTTTAAATGAGGTTATCAGATTTTGAAATCTTACTGTGGAATAAGTGTTGCGGAGCGTACGGTGTTACAGTGCAAAAGGAGAGTGATTACATCAATTCACACTATCCTCAGTCACGGGTCTAATGCACACTGGGATTAGGCTTACAATATGCATTAGTCTGTCAGGTGGCACATTCTACAAGTGGCAGGTACCATTTGGCACACAACAATCTTAAACCTTTGTGCCCCCAGAGGGGAGGATTGCAAAAATGCATTGCTTTCCCCCTTGACACTCCAGGCAGGGGTTTAAGTCAAGCCTTGCTGCTTGCAATGAGTACAGTTAATTAATGTCCACGTGACTGTACAGCAAGTGGCATTGCTCATGTGGGATTCTCGTTGCGCTTCCTGGTGACATAAAATAACCAATTCCTCAAATTATCCAATACTACATAAATACACCCCCCAAAAAATCTCTACAAACGTTTTTCCCTGAATTACTGGGAATAACAGATAATCACTGAAAATCCAGACAACAGCCTACAACCAACACCTCCCCCTTGCCCCTCATTCTAGCACAAAATAGGGATAGATCCTAGCTCCAGAACTGTACACTACAAGTATGCATGAAAGTGCAGTGCCAACAAGCAGGATATCCACGAAGAAGTAATTTATTGAAGCTATCACATGGAAAAGCAAGTGGAGATAACTACCCATTTAACCAACCCTCTCACTGAATTTAAACAGCGGCATGAAGCCCTTACCTACAGAAACTGCGCCTTTAGATCCTTCGTTATCCATTGATCTGTTGGAGTAGTACTGCTTTTATGAGGTTTAATGGTTTGATCCCAAGTTATGCAGTTTACTGGTTCGTGGGATTATTTATGAGGTTACAAAGCGTGCAAAGTGCCTTTTTTTGGCCGTCCAATTTTGACAGTAACACTAGTAATTACAATACGTATAATGACGCGGCTGCAGTCTTTTACAAAACCTGCCTTTGCAACTGAACCAGTTGACTCTAGTACAAAGGAAGCAAGAGATCCTGGTTATAACGACAAAGACAATTTTAGTTTCTATTGCATCCAAACATGCCGACTGGAGTACATTAACACTTTAACAGCTGGATATTGTAATGAAGTTCAGAAACCAAGCGCAACCTCGCTATGGCACATGAGGAGTGTATGCAAAAAATATCATGGTATTCAAAATAACACCTAGCAAATAGGAGTTTTGAAAAGCCACTTACTGGAAAAATGTACAACCCAGTGACATTATTTTGCTCTTTTTATAAAATACTACTGTTCAGTAATTGATATGAAGTCTAAACATTTCCCCCCTCAGTTTTTACAAATAAAAAATTAAATTTGAATGACGCTTGGATCACAGACAGGGGATATCATTGGGAAAAAAATATGGCATTGTGTCAAAGCACCAGGTTTCCTCGTAAACACGGTTTAACAGTATTCGAGCAGAGAAATTTATTGCCAAAACTTTAAATTCTGAAGGGTTTTCTTGGCAGGTTTCAAAATTCAAGACGTCTAGAACTACATAAAATCAGGATCCTTTACTAAAAAAACAAAAAAACAAAAAAACAAAAACAAAAAAAAAAAACCCACTTACAAACCCCAATGCAAACAGAATGTGAATCTCACAGTCTCAACATAGAATGACATATACCTCAACATAGAATGTTCTATGTACATTCTGCAAAGAACACATTTTTCTTTCTGTGAAGTGACTAGTCTACTGTTTGTTTTTATTTATTTTTCCCCCCCAAGGATCTCAAAATTAGGGTTGCTGAGAGTTTACAAGTTAATTTAAAGGGCCTCTGAAACCAGACTCATTACTAGACTATCACACTAAAGGACTAAACTTGGCATTCGCTAAAAACGTAAGTGATCTTACATTCAAGATGCAGGGAAGCAGACCCAAACTCCTCACCAATTTAACTACTAAAAATATCTGCTTGGGCATGGCCGAAACACATTGATCTAAAAAGTGTATGGTTTGTGTCCTGGAACTACCTATATGGATGCAAAGTACATGTTTTATGTATAAAGAGTGTATACAGAAACTACATGGGAGATATCTTTTGAATACCTCGTTACAAACGTCAGGACTGATTTATTGGTTTCTCTTTATACAGGACAAAAAAAAAAAAATTACAAAAATCAATTCGATTTATCTAAAAATTATTAAATCACCAGCAGTATCCTCTCATTGACTTACACTAGGAGCGCAGAACAAAATGTAAAACATTAATAAAATCAAGCAAATCAGATTTCTTTGGTGCAAAAATCACAAAACCAAGTTCTGCCACAGACTGCATGACAGCGACTCTGGTCACAAAACAAAGGACAATGTTACATCCAGAGAACAAAACTTTACAAACATGTTCAAAAGTGGTTTGGAATGGCAAGTTTTGGACGGAAAACAAATACATCACAGATCATGCATAACAATCTTAAAATCACTTCCATCAAACTTAGTATTTTGTTTGAAGACAAGTAATTGTTAAGTGTTGCTGGTCTCTTTAGGCAATATTCATTAAAAATACTTCATTTATTTAAGAATACTATAATCAAAGGGTAGTCAATACACAACTTTCTGGAGAGCTACCAGCACGCTACACAGCTTTCAGAAGAGCTACCCGCCTGCTATACCCAATATACAGCTTTTAGTAGGGTTATCTGTCTGCTACACCCAATATACAGCTTGTAGTAGGGCTACCCGCCTGCTATACCCAATATACAGCTTTTAGTAGGGTTATCTGTCTACTATACCCAATATACAGCTTGTAGTAGGGCTACCCGCCTGCTATACCCAATATACAGCTTGTAGTAGGGTTATATGTCTGCTGTACCCAATATACAGCTTGTAGTACGGCTACCCGCCTGCTATACCCAATATACAGCTTGTAGTAGGGTTATATGTCTGCTATACCCAATATACAGCTTGTAGTAGAGCCATTTACCTGCTATACCCAATATACAGTTTGTAGTAGGGCTACCCGCCTGCTATACCCAATATACAGCTTGTAGTAGGGTTATATGTCTGTTATACCCAATATACAGCTTGTAGTAGAGCCATTTGCCTGCTATACCCAATATACAGCTTGTAGTAGGGTTACCCGCCTGCTATACCCAATATACAGCTTGTAGTAGAACCATTTGCCTGCTATACCCAATATACAGCTTGTAGTAGAGCCATTTGCCTACTATCCCCAAATATACTGCTTACAGGAGAACTACTCGTCTGCCGAGACCTTAAGTCCAAGCACATTAGAAGATGAATTACACTGCTTGGTCATTAAGTGGAAATTTGTACCATAATGTGTATACAGTTATATATCAGGGAATGCCAATCTGGTATATGAATGCCAACAACTCTTATAGTCTGGGCCTATGGTGTTTAAAAAGCCAGATGACTAGGTTACATTCCATCTGCACTGGAATATCCTCGGACCTTAGGGATAGGCTCCTTGACCAAAACACAGCTTGATCTGATTTTACCTCAAAACCCACAAAATAAAATGTGTGGGATAGTCCTTGTTTCAGTTGTAGTATGGAGTTACATCAATGGCCAGACAACATCTTGTGGGTTTTGTCTAGCCCAAGAGTAATATACAGAATGTGCAATATGGGTTAGGAAAAACAGAACTCTCATTTACCAAGTGCCATAGAGATGTTCCATATGTTGCCATGTAATATGTGAGTTTGTAGTGCAAAAGTGTTACACAATCCTGTATCGCTGCGTGAGATTAGGACAGCTCAATCAAAATTCTGGTCATGGCTTACAAGGCGACCTGTAGTGTTATTCAGTGAAATATGGCCCCAACATTGGTTAATAGAGACAAATATGTACAATAAAACCTACAGGGCCAAGTCTGTCTGGAATGAATTTTGAAGGGCATTGGGGGAGACAATGGATCATTAAATTGGGGTACGTGTTTTCTAATTGCACTAACAATGCCATGCTTGGAGGCCAAGGAGAGGCAACTTTGGTCTTGATTTTCACTAAAAATACTTTGACTGGATGAGTAGACACTGCACATTAAAAAATAATAATACATATAACATCCTCAATACCTTAGTATCTTTTTTTTCATAAGTAATAACGGTTTTAAAAAGACTGTTCCCATGAGTAAGAAAGTTATAAAGAAAATAAAATAGAAAAAGAATCATCGTTACAGATTAAAAGTTTGTTTTTTTTCCTCAATTTTTTCCTTTTTTCTCTTTAGTGGAAAGCAGAAACCCTTGAAATAATCGTAGTAAGGATCTGATGGAGGGAGATTGGAGAGAAGGTGTTCGCTAGTAGGGGCCCCTACAATATAATGCATGGCTTTTTATCCTTGAAAGGGTTTTCTGAAGCAGGGATTCCCACAAGCAGTGGGTCATTCTTGGCATGTTCATCGCAGTAGCGCATTAGGTCAGCTGATGCTTTGGAAACCTAAAAGGAGATCAAAAAAAGAAAAAAAAGAAGATTAAACAAAATGATTAATAACAGATAAGCTTCAACATTACATCTATTAAAGGAAGTGACTGGGTTGTGTACATCAGCCTTCTTTTAAACCACATCCACACAAACAGGCGTTTTGAAAACTATATACAAAACCTATATCAGTTCTGCTCCTATAGAGCAGGCATCTCAAACACTCGTCCTCTAGATGTTGACTAATTACAAAGCCCACGATTTATGGCCATACAAAGAATTCTGATAATTATAGTTCACCATCATCAGAAGGGGGTGGTGCGCATTTGCGATTCCTGCTATAAAACAAGAGTGGCCACGAAGAAGATATCGACATGTTGCAGAAATACAACTCCCATGATGCTTTGCATTACAGCGGATACTTAAATATGGCAGTTTTAGTTCTGCAACAGCCTCTCCTGTTAGAAGAGTCCAGTTTACCTTTATTCTTTCTATAGAGGCCTCCACTTTAAGTTGCTGAACAGTTCGCCGTGCCTGAGCGATGTTATTCGTGCTGGTAGTTTTGGCAGACATCTTTGGTGAATTCTGAGGACAAAAGAGAGGAAAGCATGTTTCTATGAGCATTACAGACGAGAAGGCATGCATTAAAATAAACTCCCACCCCATATTGTTCATCACCTGCAAAATCTACACTAAACCCTTCTGGAGAGATACAGGATTGATGTAAAATATCAGATATACTGAATAATATTTTTTTGTCAAGCAAAATAACTTGCATTTTCAGTAAATTAGACACAGAATTGTAAGATACATTAACGGAAACCGGCACTGTAAAAAATTTACACATCACACTTACATACATCAAATGGACACTCCATGCACAAGTCTGTCTCCTTTAATCTCAATACATGCGCTCCGTGCGAACAAAAACACCACTTTACGCAGAGTGCACAACATTCTGAGCCATTCTGTGCACAGTCTCTGAACAGATGCGGTGTGTGCTCATGGCATATAAACACTTCATTGACTCAATGAGGAAGTTATGCTTCCCCATTTATCAGGGTGATATACCACAAATCTTGGCATTGTATGTCCCAGTGTATGAAGAGCATCAAGGGAAATGTGTTTTCAGTAAAAACACAATGCAAGTTTAGCCTTTATTGAATAGAATGTAAGGTAAAAATATAGAATGTTACAGAAACCAACATGGCATGTTCGTACACTAGGCTACATGCCCCCTATGTTCCTAATCGTATAAAACCAGTGCTGGAAAGGACTTGCATATGAAGCAGTCAGAGCATTGTTTTGGATGAAAGCCCTGGCTATGCCACGATCCTGCTAGAATCACTGCTGCTTTATCAATACACCAAAAGCAGAACGAACGGTCACACGGCAGCAAAAGGCACTTTACATTCTAAATTGATCAAAAAGAGGGGATAAGGCAAGCAACTACACACATCAGGCACCAGTGAGAAGCAGCATATAGTGACACAGTGTTATTGTGTCCAAGGCAACTAAAACCCTTAAATAGTTTGATTCTAGAACTATAAATCAGTAAACAACCATAGTATAAATAGGTTTAGATAATCAATGAGTATCTCTGCCCTGACAGTGGTGCTATGTTTCCCACGATACTTTTCAAACATACACACACACACACACACACACAAACAAAAGTATATATTTTATATAAGTTTATTTGTCAACATTATACAGTTTCTCACACGTGAAAAGTTTCAAAGCAAGGATATTCTTATATGTTACAGAAGAGATCAGAAACGTGTGCATGGGTGTGTTAGGATGGGCAACAAATTTGCAAACATTTCATATATTTGTATTACTTCAATCAGCACATATGAAGTACGGCCACATTGGTATGTAAAACATATGTGGCACATGCTACTGGCATTCTGTCTGTCACAAAGCATACACAATACAGGTTTCAGTCAATTATTCAGATGAACAAACTACTTTGTTAATAAGGATGGTTATGTCCTGAAGAAAGAGGTGTGTGAGATGTGCATGCTTATGAACCTGCTAAACTCAACAGGATCCACACAAATACCCCATCAATAAAATGCAGGAATTCAAAACAGCATGCAAAAATAAAGTAAAATTATTCTAAAGATAATCTAAAAGCAAATGACATTGAAGGGTTGCCTAATTGGTTGTCTATTGCCTCATTCAAATCAGTCACGTATAAAAAGACACCCACATACGTATACTGATACTGAAAATCATGCTTCGTAGCTGTATACATCTACTAATGAAGAACACATTAATAATAACTTTACTGGACTAAAATTCGGGAGAACAAGCTTTCAGAGACCCTTGCTTTATCTAGTTGAAAGCATTTCTTGGCACTAAGTCAAATGTTTTTATGACACATTTGTAAAATAAAATGAATGAATAAAAATAAGTAAATAAAAACCATGAATATACAGAGTGTAAGGTCAAACTTTCCATATGTGAATAGTCTTCATGTTTAGCAGATTACAGGAATTTTCTTTTGCTGTCCCATTACTCATATTGAAATCAGTGATTTTACACCTCTAGATCATTCAACTTTCTCAAATTATATTACTTATGAAATCTGGTGTAAAAGCAGAAAGTTTGCTTCCTGGAAGTCAGCTTTTAGAGGTTTTTCAATGCTGTAGTAATCCTGACATTTTGTGAACAAAGGCAGTTTCATATGCCATGGGTGTATGTAAACACGCCATAGTAATGCTACCAAGCTTAGGGCTCTATTACAGCAATGATTAACATTTGGCATGTCAGATGCTCACGTGAAATGTCCACTAGAGCTACCTGAGCATTGTGAGAAACTCTGCCACAACAGCTGGCTCAGCATCATCGGAAATGTAGTCCGCAGCGGTTCGAGTACCAAAGGTTGGCCGTGACAAACAAATTCTACACGGTCATGGTTTAATCATTAAACAGCCAACTGAGAAGATTTAAGAACAGAATTGCCAAATGTATGCCACAATCACCAATCTGAAGAAATATACTCCCATCAGGCAGATATTTCTGGAACATTTCCTCTGCTCGGCAAATTTAACCTCAATCTGGTAAAATAGCTGTGAGCTTAAAATTTAGTCTATAAATTCCCTGGGTGAAAGCATGAACTCTCCGGCTTATTAAAGGTTTATGCCAAGCATCATAACCAATAGAGCCTTCTGTAGTGGTTATGATGCCTGTAATACCTTTGCCAAGTTCCCCAATAAAAGGGCATACAGCATAGTAACCGTTTGCCCTCCTACCTAGGTCCCCACTAGGCATCGTGGTTCACTGTTGCTTTACAGACAGCAGAAGGTTGAAGCCGATCCATTGAAGAGCATTATGGGAGATTTAATTCACAACATCTGGAGTGCGGACGGTTGCCTACCCCTCCGTATGCTCCCAGAGCACTTCTCAATGAAGTGGTGTGGGTGCCATGTCCCTGTAGGTTTAACTCTGCAACGGAAATACACTGCTGTTCTGTTTACATTGCAGGGTTAGCCTGACTCTAGAGGCAGTCTTTCAGACAACCACTACAGCTGCTTCCACCCCATGAGTCGAGTTAAATTCGGCTATTCAATCAGATAGTCTCATAAAGTTCATCGGATTGGTGCAGTGTAGCATTTTTCTGTGCATGCGAACAGGCCTCTCATTGTTTCCCATCAGAATAGATATATTAAAACTAATAAAACATACATTCCTAATGCTTTAATGTTACTTTAACTTGATAAATGCAGCACTTCACGGCGAAACACTACACATGCAGACTCCAGGCACCAGGACCACTTCAAATCACTGAAGTGGTCACGGTGCTTGGAATAACACTTATTGTTAAGCTATTGGGGACAAATTATTACTTTAAACACATTTGCAATGTTAAAGAGCTTGCAAACACTGCGCAACTTGCAATGCATTGAAATCTGTTGCCGTAGTTTCAGTGCATTTGCCATGTGAGTGATATGTTTTAAAACGGGTCAATATTCTTAAAATGAATGTTCTGCCTAACTGAAAAGACATGTTACATTTCAAATAAATAAGACATTTTCATGAGAAATACTTGAAAGAATGCAAAACATGGTCTGCTTTCAGGAAACGTGCTTATTTTACCAGAAGTCTTCCTGTACTTAAGGGGGTGTTGGGAATTACACAATATAAGACTGAAAACATACAACAAATTAAGATTTTTTTATGTGACTGATTAATTTGTTGGGTGAGGGGGGGGGGGAGGAGGAATTGGAGATAATGCACAGGTAACTTGTTTTAGTTCAAATTAAACCAGTCCTGGTTCTTTGAAAATCTCAGTTTGGTCAAGTTTTCAATTTGACTATTTTACCGAAAAATATAATAATCACTTTGAATTCTCGAAAATTCACACTGTAGTGGAAAACTGATTGAATGGCTTCAATAGACACTATCAACTTGCATCAATATACATAAACATATTTGAATGCTTAGAGTCACTGGACACCTTTACATTTGGGATTCATGTCTCTTGATTTCTCATCAGATACCTCTTCTTTTCCCTCCTGTTCCCTCTGCATTGTTTTTCTAATTACAAATATGAAGAATCAGAGAGCTATTTGTAACCTTTTAGATTTTTCGGAGTTATAAACTGTGTGGAGAACACAGAGTGTTAACCATTAGCCTGGGGAAGCTCCACTGTTTAATGTCACTCTATTTACTAATAAAGAGCATGCATTACGCACTAATATTGCTGACAACAGATTCCACAATGAAACTAGCAAATGGCAAAAAAATGAAAAATAAAAAAGGTAGTTCCACCTGTTTGAAAAGACGTAATAGCGACTCAACCCGGAACGTAAAAGGTATTTAAGCTCTGTCAACAGTAGCACTTTAACCCTTGCAAGCCAGCTGAATGAGAATAGGGTTCCTGCTGCTATTTTATGGCTGGCTGAGTGCAATGGCTGTTGCAGCTGATTTGGAGACAGTGGTTACCAGTTCAAGTACTAGAGATAGCTGCACACAGCCTGTAGCACAAAGTCTAAGACTACGCTCACAACAAACCCCTGCTGGAAAGAGAGAAACTAAACAAAAAATCCCAAACATTCCTGGTTCTAAAACTCTAAATAAAAATATAGAAGAAAACAAACACTTATAAAGAAAACAAACAAACAACTCAAATCAGTGAACCTGTGCATACTGCTTTAAACTTAAATGAAATGTTTAAACTGTTCGAATCACACTTGTACGATACTAGGCATCTACCGGCTCACATACTGTGGGCATTCATTGCACTTCAGGGCCGATATGCCTATCACATGGATTTAATTGGATCTCCATTTGCCCCATCCTCGTTTCTGCCGAGGAGAATGAGTTGTATTGAAAGCTTATTATTTGATGTATAATATTCTTTTCGAACTATATAATGCATTTGATTAGAGAGAATCCAGCCAAATTTACTTGTAAATAACTTTAACACATTAAAGGAACACTATAGCATCAGGAATACAAACATGTATTCCTGATACTTAGCAAAAACCCATTAACAACATGGGAAACGAGTCTCGAAGACAAAACCTAAAATACAAACATTAATATTATTAACAATGCCACCA